TGGGGGGGGGGAGGAAGGGTTGTGTGTGGGGCGGGTGGGAATGGAGAATGCAGCTTCCTCACAAGCACTGGGTGTTGGCCATAGCCAAGGCTGGGGATTTTGGCTGAGGTCTGCCCATGGTTTTGCTGGGGCTAAAACTAGGAAGTTCTAGGTTAAAAGCGTCTTGGCACCTCCTCGCACAGTCAAACCAATTACCACATTTGAGATCAAGAAAAAATTTTACCCCATGGTTAGATTGGTATGGACTGTGGAGGTTTTGGCCTTCTTCTGCGGCAGAAGGTGGGCCCTCTTCCTTGAAACCCTCCAGTGTTTCTTAATAAACCTTGCACTGGCTGGACATCATCCCCCTGCTTTTCCTGTGACAGGTTGGGTGTTTGGGGCAATGTGCTTTGAGGCTATGCAACAAGGTTACTTGTGTAGTTTTGGGAATAGGTTGGATGAGCACTTATGTGGAGTGGTTTGGATAGGGATGGACCTGCCTTGAGCAGGAGGTTGGACTAAATGACATCCCGAGTTCCCTTCCAACTCTACTTTTCTATGCAATTTTATGCTCCTTTTTCTAGAAGCAGACTTTTTTTTTTTTTTTTACAAACCTAAGCTACTGGCAGCATGTTCTTTGCTTGTCACTTAAAACGAAGTGTAAACCACTGCTGCTCATGCTGTGCTTGCTTGGTGAACAAAAAGAAAGATTTCAGTTTCTAGCACTATCAATCCAATTTAGGGAGATGCTAAACCCACTTAAAGAAATTATATATTTCCAAATTGTTCAGGATACATTGCTGAAATCCACTGACTGGTGGAAGCGCTAACAAAGAAACAGGAAAGACTCCACATTGCCATAGCAACAGGTGTTCTCTGGGTGAAGTTGGAGAGAGAAAGCATCACCCAGTCACGGACCATCGATGACTGTCCAGTGGTATGTAGTGTCTGAAATACCTGCAAAAAAGTTAATAAATATTTCACAAGGGAAAAGACATGCTACAACAGCATCAATGGCCAGACATCAAGCATTGCAAGCACATAATTCTGGACTGGAAAGCTTCTCCAGCAGCAAACCCTCTAGAAACCACCTAATATGGATGAATCAAGCTGTGTAAATCTTTAAAGAAACTGGATTTGGCATTTTGATTTTTAGAAGTTGAGCTTCCTGTTAAGAATGGCTGTTAGCTACACGTGACTGTCAAAAATTCCATGGATATAATGTTGTGACAAAGTTGTAACTGAGTTAAAGTACTACATCAAAACTACTTGGCATTCATGTCACATGCCTATGACTATTTATATTATAGGGTTGAGGGATGGGGAGAGAACAGGTTTCACAAATTTGTGCTAAAATGACAGGTCCAGACCAGAGGGAAAGCACTACTAGTGCCATCCACTGTCTCCTTAATTCTGCAAGGAAGCTAGCTTACACAAGTCTGATCACAAGCCGAGCTGAAGAATTTCAGGGTATGATTCTTCTTATCCCACTGATTTGGTAAGTGCCAGTTTAGCCCATGATACCACAATCCCAGATTTTGTCCTTCTGGAACATCTGAGTACACAACATTTTTAAACAGAATCCTAAACAGAATCCAAACAGAGGGCTCTTCCCATATCTTGACTCTCACGCAAACAAATGTTGGCCACCTATAAATTCCCCTGCCCCATTCCAACACTAAGTTTTTGTCTTATTTAATTTCCTAGCTCTTAAAATGACACCCTGCTCTGTTATGATCTTAGAATTGCAGACATGCAGGATCCTTCTCTATGTTTTCTTGTTTCCTAAAATGACAACTCTTGAGCTTTATTTATTCTAACTTGTGCAAGTACATGGGCAACAGAACAAGATATCTGCCCTGCCTTTAAGTCAGTTAAAACAGAAGTGATAAACTTTGCTTATCCATGTAGCAGCATTAGCAATTTGGACATGTACTTTGTTCAATAAAATACCAAATCTGGCCTATAAATCACAACCTGCTGCTGATTTATTCAGTGTCACTTCTGATAATGTTCTGCAGAATACCCTTCTACGTTATTGGCAGAAATATAGTACAAATGCTACTCAAGGAGGTGAAAAAGTATACCTTTTAAATATTTAAGATGTCACAACTGACACATTAAAATATGCTTATTGTGTTAAATGAGTACTTCTGATAATACTCATTGGTAACATAAAACTAGTAGTAAATTTGCCTAGTTAACTCTTTAGGATCAACAACAAACCTCCCCCGGGTAAGGGAAAAGAAAATCAAATGTATTACCTTATATACTACAGTTGCCATGAACTGAGGGTATGGCTGCTGGTTGGATAAAAATTCTCCAATAACTTTATTCATTACATCTTGTGGAGGAAAGAAGTCATCTAGGAATTGAGGGAGGATCCGTGCAACTACTCTAGCTTCAAAAGGAAATCCTTTCCTGATCCTAGGGGGAAGAGAGAAAATAAATACATTTCACCATTTTAAATCAGCAGACTACTCTTGGCAATTTAGGCCCTATAAAAATTATTCAGTTTTTTTGGATTCAAGTGAGGCAAGAAAAGAACTTTTTTTTTTTTTTTTTTTTTT